CTTCTGCTAGTTGGGGTTTAGTCCAAATCTGCATCCTTTCCTTCAAGGCTCAGGGGTCCAAGATTATCTTCTGTGTCTGTATTAATTGGTTTCCCTTTTCTTTGTTGAAGAGGGTCTGTGCAATCCTTCTGCCTAGTCCGCCATCTTGCCCCGCCTCTCAATGGTTAGCTTCTTACATGAGAGTTCTAACTTTACTGCTCACAACTCTCAACTCACAAATAGCAATTTGTAGAAGCCTTGTTTAGAGCTGGGAGCATAAGCCAAGTACTAATGGTGCCTTCCAGTGAGGCACTAAGAACTGTGCATTCTCAGGGTGGGCACAGCGTTTCAGCACGCCATGGAAAGAGGATGGTCTTCATAAACCCTAAGCAAATATGTCGGTATTCCTAGAGTGTCCTTTAGGTGTAATAATGAACTTTCTAGGCCAGATGGCTCAGGAAGTGTGAAAATTACTTATTTTTTTGCCTCTTAAGCCTACCCTCAACCCACTAGATAGTTAACTTATAAAACTAAAATGTAGGGAATGAAACTTGGACTCTCTTTCTCTCCACACTTGAGGGTGTGGAATAGATTTTCTTTGAGAATAAACCCTGATGGTTGATATTTCCCTTTGGTACCCCTGGTCAGATCCTTCAGGGACTTAATAAAGCAAATCACCTGTCCTTTTGCCTTACATAGAATAAACAAAATACAAATAATTCACACAGAGCACAAGAGAATGGGGTAAATTGTCTTCTTTCCTGGATTATGTAACAAAAAAAAGTAGGTATTTTTCTTGCTGAGACATTTTAAATGCTTCCCTTATTAAAGATAGAGGGATGAACTCTTTAGAAATCTCATTCTCTCCCTTTTTCTCCTTCAGTTGGCGCTGGAGCCAGACTCTCCTTGTACGTTCCTATCTGCAGGTGAAGATGCAGTTGTCTTCACCATTGACCTTAGACAAGACCGGCCAGCTTCGTAAGTATAACGATAGTTTCTGGAATTCTTGGCCTTAAAGATACTCCCTGTGTCTTAGCCAGTGTTCAGGTCTCTTATGCATCAGAATAATCCCTTTGTGCCTGTGATAAGAGGCAATTTAAGGCTTGGGGGAATTCTTCATTTCCTTGTAGTTAATGTTTTTCAGCGGGGAAATATTATTCAATTTACTTTCATTTCTAAAACAAGATTCCATTTTCTTATATATAGGCTTTAATTACTTGATGATCTTTTGTTCTCCACTTGCTTGGGTACCACTCAGCTTCTCCACAAGAATAACATGATGCTATTTTGTATACTCTACAAAGCAGCTTAGATATGATATGATTGTGTTTACTTCTCAGTTCTGTTACATATAGGAACATGCAGACAATTAACTGGTAATCTTGAACAAAATATTGGTAGTATAGTAAAGCTTTATCATATTGCAGCCTGTATGCACATGAATTTGAGGCTCATGGGTAAATTATGTCCCCTTTCAGTTGTGGTATCATAGAAAGAACATAATGTCTTGTTTACATCCAGGCAGACATAGATTAAGTCTCAACTTGGGTACTGCCAGGTATGTGGTCTTAGGCAAGTCACTTAACCCTTCTGAACCAATTTATTTTTATAATAGTGTAGTGTCTGGCTCCAAGGTTTAAACTGATTAAATTGTAGTAACTATAATTATTTTAGTTTCTTTTTTAAACTTCAGCTGCTCTTTTAATTTACAAATAAGTTCTCATTTAAGAGATTCACATAATAAAATAAGAATAAAGTATAAATGCCCCTACATGTGCTGCCCCTCATTTTTCTAGCTACTAGTAACCATGGTTAGCAATTTTGAACATCTTTTCAGTCCCTTTTCTATTAATTTATATACCTAGATAATGTACACATATACTTTTATACATCAATGAGATAATTATATGTATACATAAAAATCTGTTACTTTTGGGTCATTTCTAAGTGAAAGTAATCCCCTAGGGTGTCAGGCTAGAACCGTGCTCTGTAGGGCTTTCCACGGCAGATTTATTTTTTTAATTTTTACTGTTATTTGGGTGAAAGTTTACAGAACAAATTCACTTTCCATACAGCAGCTCACATATACTTTGACATTGACTGCAGTCTCCCACAATACAGCAGGTCCCCTCCCACTTCCTTCCCATAGTTATCTCTCTTCCCTGTGTCCTTCCCTCCCATACACTCCTGCCCCACAAGCTGTCTCCCTGGGTGTACACAGCCCTTTTGTTATCCCATGATTGATCTCTCCAAGGAGTGTACCTAGCATATGTAAATGTTCAGGTCCTATGCCTGTCTTTTGTTTGGCTGGAAGCCATGGGAACGGGTTCAGTTCCAGATCTAAAGGGCACTTAGGGGCCATAGTCTCAGTGGTTCCATCAGGCTTTATCAGACCAGCAAACCTGGTCCCTTTTGTTTGTTTATTTTTTAATGATTTTGAGTTTTGTTCCACATTATTCTCCCACTGTATCCAGGATCTCCTACATAGACCCCCTCCGAGTGATTGACAGTGGTAGCCAGGCACCATCTAGTTCTTCTGGTCTCATAGTTGTATGGGCTGAGGATCACATGGTATACTAGTTGCTTGGACTAATTGCTCCCATGCATCTTTGGTTCTCTTCATTCTTCTTTGCTCTGGACAAGAAGAGACCCGTTGTTGCATCTAAATGACCGCTTGCAAGCTTTTAAGATCCCAGTCACTACTCATCAAAGTAGGATGTGGAACAATGTTTTTGTGTAATATGTTATGCCAATTGAGCTTGATGTCCCCTGAGACTATGATCCCAAGCCCACAGGTCCAACTACTTGCTCCTGGGTAGCTGGCTGTGGCCAAGAAGTGACTACAACCATGTCCCTTGTCAGTTCTACTATATACCTGGGAATTCTTACAGAACATACAGATACACTTGTAGAAACATTGTCTGCCAACCGTACACACATGGTCTACACACACATCTTGCCACACTCCCCCTGCATAGAAATACCTAGTAGTTCAGCCCGTCCACCCGTCTATCCACCTGTATATCAATGTTCGCCTTCATTGATAATGCAGTACTGTATGTGCAAAAGGGTTCATCTTTGTTGTATGTACCTCCCATGCACCTCTCTGTCTTCTTCTTCCTCAGTGCCACCTCAATGGCAGATCTTTTAAAGGTAGATTGTCAGGCCTTTCTTTTGAGGCACTTCTGGGTAGACTTGAACCTCTGATCTTTCAGTTAGCAGCTAACCACATTAACTGCACCATCTGGGGACTCCATCTAAAAACACATAGTTAGTTGCCACCCAGTCAGCTCTGACTTACGGTGACCTTATGTATAACAGAGTGACACATTCCCTGGTCCTGCACCATCCTCACAATCATTGGTATGCTTTGAGCCCATGTGTATATCTTTAAAATTTGCTTTTTCATATAACATGCTTTAGAGCTCTTTCTATGTCAAGTTGTAAAAGCCCAGTTCAGTTTTAACCATGGCATATATTTCATAGCATTGGTGTACCACAATTTATTTATCCATTACCTGGTGGCACAGTGGTTAAAGTGTTCAGCTGCTAACCTGAAAGGTCAGTGGTTCAAACCCTTCAGCCGCTCCATGGAAGAAAGATGTGGCATTCTGTTTCCATAAAGATTTACAGCCTTGGACACCCTATGGGACAGTTCTGTTCTGTCCTATAGGGTCTCTGAGTTAGAATTGACTGGATTTTAGGTTTGGTTTGGTTTGGTTTAGTTTGGTAGATAGATATCTAGACTATTTACTGTATTGTTAGTCTTTAAAAATTATAACATTTTATTTATCTATATTAGTATTGGTAAGGGTTACTGATTTTACTTAGTATGTAAGTGAAATATAAGTTCAGGGAGCAAAATCTAAGGGCTGATAATTATTAGACTTATTTTTAGAGACATAAGTGTAGAAAAAGCCTGGAAAGTGGAAAAATATTAACAAAACTACTTAAATGATGGGAATATTTTAGGTTTGGGGAAAGGATATTCTCATTACTTATGAAGAGAATTAAGGTTGGGAGATGATGGTTTTTACTGGAAAGGGTACAAGCCTGGGTGACAAAGGATCTGCCTTCTAGTGATAACTCTACACTTAACCAGCTTTAAGAAAACCATTTTAATCTCTTAAACTGAATGTTTGTTATTTCCATTTTCAGTTCCCTGATGATAATGAAATAGTAGTAACTTTTCCAGAGGGGAAGGGAACGTCAAAGATGAAAGAAATGATACGAGTTTGGTCTGCTCTGGTAAAGTCACGAAGCAGAATGAGTTGTTATCCTTTGGATCAAGTTCAGAGGGAAACTACTGTTAGGCCACAAGGAATTGGGAATGTGGTTCAAGTAATGGGAAGAGCAAATGACTTCAGCGGCTTACTGAATTTGGAATGAAATGATGTAGGCAGAAAATCTGGCTTAGAGTTGACCACAAAATAAGGTGTAAGCCATGATAGAAGGGATTGAAACTAAAAGAGGAAACAGGAGAAACTTAGAGTAGGAGCCTTAAAACTCAAAATTTGAGGAGCAGGAGATAGTAAACTTTCAAGAAGTTTTTGCTTTAGAGTTTGGGAAAGTAGAATTATAGGCTAGGATGGGATGGGGAAGCTGAATGTGAATATCATGGCTAGAAAGCAAAGCTATCCTGATGTGCCTAGACCAGTTTATATCAAAGGCACTTTTTTTGTGTGTGAAATTGACATGGGAAGTTTTTCTTTTGCATATATATGATAATTGAGTGTTGGTAACTGGTGAAATTGGCCACCATCTTAGGAAAAGAGTTGGATTTGGAGCTGTGGGTGGGATGTTCCTTTAGCCAGTAGAAGCCAGTTTGAGGTATTCTTCAGAGGAATCTTGTGATCTGATCTGTAATTATTTCTCCCTTTTTGCTGGAACATACACCTGCTCGTTGATTTTAAGGCAGTTTGTTAAGGTTGCTCATACTGTTTCATGTGCTGCCTCTCTCTGATGTGAAAAAATTTTTTTTTTCCTGCTCTCATGATTAATCATTTTTATAGCTCCTTTGCCTGTTCGCCGGAGAGTTTAAGACACTCTGCATTTATCTTTTGAGAGAGAATTATTATTATTTTTTAATGAAACATGTAATTTAATCAGTCTGAAAAAAAGAAGAAAAATTCCAAACGAGTGCTGTCAACTCCAACTCATGGCAACCCTGTGTGTGTGTCAGCATGAAACTGTGCTCCATAGGGTTAAAAAACCAACTTTTAATTCTGATTTGGGTGAACGTTTACAGTGCAAATTGGTTTTCCATTCAATGGGTCATTCACATTTTGTTTTGTGTCGTTGATTGCAATCCCCACAATGTAACAGCACTCTTCCCATTTCCTTCCTATGTTTATCATTTCTTTTCGTCTTTTTCTATCCTTCCTGCCTTCTGAACTTTATTCTTGGTAAATGTTGCCTTCTTGATACCTCATATGGTTGATTGTTCTAAGGAGTGCATATCTTCCTGGTATTATTATTCACTTTATAGGCCTATTGTTTGGCTGAAAGTTGAGCCATTGGAGTGAGTTCAGTTCCAGGCTTGAAGGATGATCAAGGGCCATAGTATCAGGGGTTCTACCAGTCTGTCAGACCACTAAGCCTGGCCTTTTTTTTTTTATTTTGAGTTTTGTTTCACATTTTTTTCCCATTGTATCCAGGAACCTTCAATTGTGATCCCTTTCAGAGTGATCAGCATTGGTACCTGGCACCATATAGTTCCTCTGGTTTTAGAGTCATTGAGGCTAGGTTTGCTTCTACAGGATAACTTTTCTATAGGTGTGACTCTCCCATTTCAAAATCTGAGTTGCAGAGAAAATGAGATGGCCCTCTGGAAAGGTAGAGCAGCCACTTCTCCATAGCTAGTTTTGTTTCTGAAACTGCTACTCTTTTGACATGTTTTATGGCTTGTGGTTTTTTTTTTTCCTTCCTCCTAAGGACATTCCTTTTTAATGACCTTTGTATTCTATACTCTTCATGGA